TTCAATAAAATGTTTTTTTCATTCACAAGAGGCTTCTGGGCAGGTTTTGTCTGGGAATATATTTCACTCACAGCCTAACAGTGACATCCGAAAGCACTAAAAAGCTACATATAACCATCACTGATGCAGCCACTCATATTTCTTCCCAGTCATCCAAACATCCTTTCCACTTTTGGTATTCTCATTTCATCTCATTCTCCATCTCATCACAAGCCCTCTGAGATTTTCACACAGAAACTGTTTCCCCAAGATATCCAAGGCTTGTGGCTTGTGTTCCCAAACTCGGTGTGCCCCTGGGAAGAGATATATACCTGTGCTGTGCTTCTGAGATCTAGTCCCTGCAAAGGCAAATCAGACAAAAGGTGGATGTGGTGGATTTGTGGTGACAAAATACCTTCAGAAGCCTTAGCCCATGATCACTATTCACCTCAGCTGCTGAAACATTCTCTTTGCTGGTCTTGACAAAGGTTGGCTCACTGCTCTGCATTCAAAATGTTTGTGTGAATCCATTAGTTTGAACCCCTTGTCATTCTTTTTGTGCATGTCTGGTGATTTCCCCCTTTTTCTATATTACTGTTTCCTTCCTTCATTTAATTTAATTTCATTTCCCAGCCCTTCCCATTCTATCAGCTCAAATTCACTCTTCCGAAATGGCCTCCAGACTTTGGCAAACAAAGCAGATCTTCATTACTCAAAGAGGTACTTTAGAATGTGCTCTGTGCCTTTCCTTGGATGAACTTCCCACTGTGAGCTTAGGAAAATGCCTTTCCTTGTCAGGTCTCCTGCCTTTCAAATATTTGCATTCTCTGTATATCTACTGAGCTGCAGCACTCTCTCCTTTATTTAAACTTCATTGAGTCTTCTGCTTTATAAAGGATTAATTCTAGGTTTTCCAGGAGTCCTTCTTTGATCTGAAATTTGAAATGCCATAATTTTTATTTTTTTTTAATCAGAAACTAAATTAGCTCTGTGCAAACTGGAAGTAGGCTCTTAATTATGCTCTCCATCTGTATCCTTTAAAAATATTTCTTACACATCTCATTTTTTATTAGAACGTCACTCCTCACATGTTTTCAGCAAAGCTTTATGATTTATTCTTGTGTCCCTCATGAAATGCAAACCACTGTACTGTCAGAGCCAGGGACTCTAAGAATACAGCTACCTTTTGTTGTTTTTCTCTTTTGCAATGTTTTAAGAAATAAAAGAAAGTGGAAGTAAAACATTTCTCCAGTATTTCTCCAGTCACAGGGTCTACTTAACTGTTTCATTTTAAATTTGGGGGGGTTTCTTTGGTTCTTTGCTTATTCATGAAAACAGACCAGCTTTCAGTGTTCACTCTGGGGTGAACATGTCTGCTTTACTCTGTGTCCACTCACAAGTGATTGGTCTAGGAACAACAGATATGTGGAGCTCTGCTTTGGAAAGCTCCTTCCAGTAAAGAAAGGTCCTTAAACATCTGCCAATATACTTCAGGATCTCTATGCAAATTCCTTCTAAAATCTCTCCCTTGTTACAACCTTCTACAAGAAACTGGAGAAGAGCAAGGAAGTCTGTGTATAAAGACCTTTTCAGCCCTGTCTCTTTATTTCTGTATCTCTTTCCATACAGCTCAGGTCTTACATTTTGACTGCAAGCTGCATGGGGCACAGGGTGGGGGCAATATAGTCACATGGGCAGGGGGCCTGGTTGCTGCTGGGGCACAAATGGACTGTGACAAAGAACATATAGCAAACCCAGCTGGGTAAGGGCTACAGTGCACATCTACCAGGCTAATTTACAACTGGTAGCATGAACAGTTGAGAGGCAATTTGCCCTCTGTATTGGATAACCATAGATGCCCTGAATATCAGGAAAGTTTGTTAGATATAATTAGCTTTACAGTAGGGCAAACAAAGCCTACATTCTAAAAAGAAATGCCAACAATTGTAGCACAAAGAAAAGCTCACATATCCACCCACACCTCAAATCCTTCTGGACAATCTGCTGGTCAGCAAAACTGCACAAGAAATGTGCTCTGAGAAGCAGTGAAAGGAGAATTCCTCAGCTACTGCTGCCCTCACTTCTGCTGAGGCTGAACTGAGGGCACAGCCTTAGGACTGGAGAGCAGCATCTACAAAACCAGGTTAGAAGCTGACAAAAAGGCAACATTTCTGAGAGACTTAAAAATCAGTGGTTTTGTGATATGAATTGAGGTCCCTTTAGGGACTAAGACTGATCCACCAAACTTGGTCATATCTAGGCCTTCACTTACACTAATCAGGTTTTAGTCCTTTCATGGTAATGAAACGATATTTTTCCAGTCACTGTGTTATTTCCTTTTCTCTTTACCTATTGTTTTGTAGAAAAGATTTTTTCAGCCATGGTGCTTAAGAGGTCTGGATTTTTTTCAAATGACAATGCATTTCAAAACCCCAATAGGTTTGTGGCAAACTAACATGGTAAAAACGTGAACTGTTTAACATAATAAGACATGATCTCACATTTTGAGTTTAACAAAATATCCTGAAACTAGATACTTATGCAAATTATAAGAATCTCTTCTCTCCATTACATCTCAAGTAATTCACCAAGTAAGTTCCTGTCACAGAAGAAAAAAACACAGGCAGCACGAGATAGGCTTTAAAGTCTGAAAATAATTTTGTGAATAATAACATTTTACAATGGGAATTCTGACAGGGTGTCAGGAGGAAGTTTTGCCCTAACGAGCATTCAGTGGAGAAAAGCAAATCACTAGAATGCAAGAGACTAACCCCAAATGAGCAAGAAACTTACATGAGAAACCTGGTTATTTAACTTCCTTACAATGTGACTAATCACAGGAGTGCCGTCCAGCGTTCAGGGTAAATCGCATGTCCCTCCCTCAGCTAAGTTCAAAGAGGCCGTGAGACCCAAACCACTCCTAAGCTCATTCCTCCCCTCAAGGCTCTGCAGTTCAGCTCTGCGAGGTCCTCAGTCCTCTCCCGTGCTCTGACCCTTTGCTATGGTAGCATATGTAGAGGATAAAGGTTTCCTGTGACCAGGGAATTAATATCACCCCTTAGGACAAAGAGTACTATAGTGTAAATATGTGCACTGAGCTTTTGGACGCAGCAAGCACAAAGCACAGGGTGTTTCAAACACCCTGAGGAATAACCTGGATCTCAGAAGTAGGGCTCTTCTTTCACCCATTACCTTGCTCTGGCCCTAGGCCATGTGTAAAGTTCCATTTTTGGAAAAAGGTAAAAGAAAAAGAGTTCTCAAGATAGTCAGGGTAGGAAGATACCAGACTATACAGACAAGAAGGTGCAGTAAGTAGGTAAGATAGATCCTATGGCTGTAGCCCACACAGCATGGCTGTGATACACAGGGAAGGTGGATCAAGCAGAAGTCCAGAGATTCTTGATCAGCTGAAGAGTAGTTAGAAAAGGGGCACAGTAGACAGAAAAGGTGTTCCTAGAAACTCTTACAGATTTTAATTTAGGGGAAAACTCGTTCAGTTACCAATACCTTGTCCCATGCTACAACAGCTGGGAAGGATGGGAACACTGACAGTGAGATCTTATTTGAAACAAGATCTCTTTTACTGCATCATCCATCTGCTATCTGCATACATTAACTCAAGATCCAAAGCCTGATTAGCAAGGATAGAGGGCACCATAGCAAGGTGATCTCTAATAATTAGAAGGGATAACACAGGGCAGCCAGGGCTCACCTCAGGCTGCCCTGGCTGTGAAGACAGACACAGTTTCCAGACTCCAGAAGAAAACACACTGTGCTTTACTTAAAAGAGTAATTATCCTAACATGGGACTTTTAAGGAGGAACAAAGGAAAGAATTAAAAACTTGTGGAGCTGAAAAGGCACACTGAGAAAAAAATATCCAGGAAACAAAATGAGTGCCACTGGAAACAATGCTTGCCAAAGTAGTCTCAAACACCAGAGAGAGGAGCGCCAGAGCACTCTCACTCTTGGTGTATAAGATGCTGTGAATATGTGGGGCACGAGCATGGAGTTTTGTCTGGCAGTTCTTTGCCAGTGTTTCATGGCTAATTGCACCATCAATTTGGAGTCTCAATCAATTATCAGGTGACATTAGAGTTGACAAGGGTCAAATGCATCATTTGTTTAACTGCATACCAAACCCAAGCCCAAAAGATACAAAGGACAGATAATTTAGTTACTACTCTGGATATGAAAATGCCAGGCATAACCTGGTAATTTCATGTCATAAATCTCACAGATATTCTGGTATGTGATGTTGCAATAGCATTTATTTAAGATTACATTTAATATTAAAATTGATTTAAGCTTGTCTAACCAGTAATACAATATGTGCCTGACTCATTATTAGGGTGCATTTTCCCATAGCTGTATTTTTATTTATTATCAGTTCTGTTTTGAATGCTAGTTGAGATTAAACTGACTGTGAATCTGTAATTACAAACAATTGTTGCAACGCTTAAGTATGGAAGCAGTAAACTTATTTATATCATTAGGTATTTAGGTGATTTCAAGATCAAATACTTATCCTGGATCTTCGGATTGGGCAGGCTACTGTTCAAGAGCTAATGCTGTTAGTTTTTCTAGGTCACAGTCCAAGAGCAGGTCTTTGCAATTTAATATATCTACATATATAAGTGATGAAGCACCTTCTAAAAGAACTTCTCAAACTCTGGGGGTAAAAAAAAGAGTGCTGACCTTCAGTATAACTGAAGTGAACCATTTTTATGGGATTCTTTAGGCAATGATTCATGGATATGACAGTCTAACATATAAAAAAGCAAAACGATTTTCAGACCTTACATGACTGCTAAAAGGCCCGTGGACGGCAGTTTCAGATTGAATATATATTTTCCATCTGCTGAATAGTTGTTTTTGTTCATGCTGTTTGAGGTTAACTGTGCACGTACTAATCAAACCCACTACTTCCTTTCTCGTAAAACCAAAACAAAGCTTCATATTACTTTCAGGTACAGCATCTTGGATCAAAGCTATATATACACACTGGCTCTGTGTGGGTTCAAACATTTCGAAGATTCAGTATCCTGAAAGGTGTCATCTCTTTTCCAGTCCTGAGAGTTCCAGTTTGTCTTAACATCTCAAGGCATCAGACACCTTCAGTCCCTCCAGGATCTGTCCCAGCACAGGAATGTTCTCAATATTGGTCACCGTGGGCTTTCTCTGCACGGCCACTGCCAGTGCTGAAGGTGGGTAGATGAAGGAGGCAAGGTATCTGGGGGTGTCTGCCTTTTTTCAGTTTCACATCTTTGCAGGTGATGGATTTGGTACAACGGGGAGAGGGAGGTGACACAGGACAGGATGGGAGCAAGGTCTTGGGGCACTGCAAGGTATCTGGAAAACCATACACAGACTTTAGAGCAGTACTATCTGTGGGGACACTGGGTAGGATTCAGAGTACCTCAAGAAGGAAGACAGATTTTGACAAACCAGGCCCTGCAAGTGAAGTTATGGCAGCTGATAACATGGGTATAGAGGTTTGAATGGATGGAAAAATTCTACTCTTCTTCATCTCAAACTCTTGCACTGCAGAATTGAAGAAGATAAGCCCTGCCCCATTATGGACTGATACAAAATGAGATTGAACAAATCATACTGAGTCTTCACAGCTTATTAAAGCAAAAGTCAGAGCCTTTTCACTGTGTAGTAGGATAGAGCATAGAAGTTGTAGAAAACTGTCAGTGGGGATGTACATGATACACTAATTTCCCCTTAAGATTTATAATGGGGTTTTTTTACAGTATGTTTATCAGGCTTTGCTGTGTGCTGCTATATTGTGGCTTGGGAATAGCTAGTTAAAAATAAGGAGAAAAAAGTTCAGAAACAAAAATTTGCAAATAGGTTTTCCATTCCATTTTACTGTAACCCTAATGGTTCTGTTCCATGTTCCATACAGGTTGTTTCTAAATGTGAACATGCTTATTTCTACTAGGCAGAAATTATGGTTTAAATGCCTGATTTTAAAATTCAAATTTCAGTCTTACCATTTGAAGTCTATTTTTTTTCTGTTTTCTTATACATATTAAAAAATTTCTGTTGAGGGAAACCAAAGCATGCAGGTCATTCATTGCTCCAGTAAGTGGGCCAAACAACCTATTATTTAAGTAGCAAGTAATTGCTGAGATTCATAATATAATTTTTAGTGTTCAAAGTACTTCTTGAGCTTTTTAAAGAATATAGCATATTAAGTGCAATGCTAATGTGAATTGTGGTCTTGGAGTCCTTTTTTTGAAAGCAGCATTTCTAGGAAGTACCCGTGGATAATAGGAGGTGGTAGGACTCCCTTCCTGCCATGCAGGTTTCAAGTAAATGACCGTAGATCATTCCTTGACAGTTCACTTACCATCATGCTCTTTACTTCCTTATAGTAATGGAAGTGACTCAGCCAGCAATGGTGTTGGCCAACAGGCAAGGAGTTGCCAGCTTGACGTGTAAATACAAGCACATCGGGAACGCAAAGGAAATTCGAGCGACGCTGCTCAAACAGACGGGGGACGGGTTCACTGAAATTTGTGCTTCAACCTACACCTCGGAGTTCCAAACGTTCCGTGTGGAAGCGGTCATTCAGTGCCGCGTCAGCCCTGGCCGAAACAATGTGACCCTCACCCTCGTGGGCCTGCAGGCCAATGACACCGGTCTGTACGTCTGCAAGATGGAGAGGATGTACCCCCCTCCCTATTTCATGAACATGGGAAATGGGACACATCTCTATGTCACTGGTAAGCCACAGCTTTACAGTACTGTGATATTTCCAAGTTAAGGGAGTTGCTGTTATGTCTCAAAGCTCTTTAGAGTTCTGTTTGTAAGAAGTGGGGGTGAATACTGGTTTGAGCTCTGAAAATCATGATTAGCTCTTATTCCTTTCATGCCTCCCTCCACACACCTAAAGCAAGCATAGTCAGAGTCATGCAACCGATTTAGCAACTTAGGGATGTTTGATAGCATAAGCAACACCATGTATGTCTGGACAGTTAGATACAGAAGTAAAGAAATAGCAGAGTAAGGTGTATGTTCTAGGTAAAGCCTATTTTCACTGGAGGTTGAGTGGGCAGAGACTCAGAGGTCAGTCCTGGTATTATCCTGGAATAGCATATGCTAGAGAAAAACAGAGTGGAGGCTGATTTACTGACTATAGGGCCATCCTTAGGAGGCTCATGTGTGACATGACTTGTGTGATATCCTATGTTTTAGATCCAGAACCTTGTCCAGACACTGCCATATATCTCTGGGTATTAGGAGCTACTGCCTCAGGATTTTTTCTTTACAGTATCATCATCTCAGCTGTTCTTGTGGGCAAAGCGGTAAGTGCCATCAATTCAGCCCCATTCTGCTAATAATACCCTTTGTGTGATGAGGACAAGGAGAAAGAAAGGAGAACACTGGGAACAAATGCACTGGGATGCTCCATTTTACTAGTGCAACGCTATTACAATACTGTCAGATAAGAAAACTTGCTGGAGCTGCCACTTATATTTGTTTATGGCTCATTTGTGTTGCCAGAGTACTAGGAAGCAGTCAGCTTTCATCAGCTGGACTGAGCCTGGCTTAGATTTGGATGCTTAAAATGGGTCAGAGTCCTGGACACTTCGGGGATCTAAGGCAACAGTCTTCACATGTACTCTGATTTCTTAACTGATTCACACAAAATCCCAGGATTTGATTTTTTCCTTTTCTCACCATTCACCCCTGTGCAAAGCAAATTTAAAGAGGCTTCTCCTTGGATAAGGGGGAATCGTAACTGAAAGAATTTTTAACTTCACAACTAGAAATCTCTGCACAAAGGCATGCAAAATGTAAGCCTGTGTTGCCTCTTTCCATGGGAGTCTGCAGTACTCACAGAAATGAACTTGATGGCAAAGCTTAAAACCAAACAGTACCTCTGTCCCATATTTTTCAATTAGCCCTTGTCCCTAGAGACTAAATTAAGCTGTTTGGTGTGAACACTCCTAGTTTTGCAGCAACACTGAACTCTGAAGCAAGAGTACCTTCAGAGGGCTAAATGAATGCCAGAACTCTTTAATATATAAATATATGTATATCTAAATAGCCTCTGTACCTCCTGATCCTCCCTCAAATGGTCTCAACAGATCTCCTAAAATGAGGCATGTCAGGGAAAGGTGTCTAGAACACCTTCTACTCAGTAAAGGCAGAACATCCATCAGTTTTCTCTAAAATGTGCTGGTCAATGATTATGCTGTTATCATTTGTTTATTTTATTGTCTTCCCATATTTTACAGATAAAGAGAAGACGATGTCTTACTACTGGAGTCTACGTGAAAATGCCTTCTGAAAAGCTAGAGAAAAAAGTGATTCCATTCCACATCACTGGTAACTGTAACAAGGAAGGAGAGAAACCATTTCCTAGCTGGGATGGAGAGTCTGCTAATTCGCTTAAGTTAAAGAAATAAAATTAATTGTCTTATTACAAAGGTGTACGGGAAGGAGAGAGAATATTCCCTGTAACGTCAGTGGTTTGGAGGAGAATAATTATTGTATGCACTAGTATTCGAAGATTAATCCTGTCACATAAAAATGGCTACACTAGGCCATTGAATCTTTGAGATGTATTGTACCAATATGTAGTGTATATATATATATATATATATATAGCATTAAGAGCTATTGCTGTTCCAGTTGAGCATCTTACTGTCACATTTCACCATGCCTACTGATCAACTGAAATCCAAACACTATTATGACAGAGGCTTGTGTGTCATTGCAAGGCTGATCCCACAGGTCTGGGGGGCAGAGGCAGAAGAGCACACTAATGTACGAAGGAATGTTGACTTGTTTCCCTGCATTGATATTTATTGGTTCCATTTCTGGCGTTAGTGCTCTGCACTCCACAGAGACATCACCATAGGCTGGCACTGATGACACTGCTGCTCTAAAAGCCTGATCTTAGCTCCCTTCACTGGCATTGTGTCCCAGCAGTGCCGTGCTGGAGCTGACATTGATGATATCTAAGCCAGTGCTGACAGTTTGGTTGGAAAAGAGGCTCCAGCAGGAACCCTCTTACGCTGTGCTGGGAGGATGTTCCAGCTCTGCTGGGGCCTCGTGTTTTACAAATGCTAAATTAGCATCTATCCAAAAGGCAGATGTATGTTGCTGTGTTTAACTGACTCTATTTTCCATGAAAATATTGACAGTGTATAATCTTGTTTATTAGTTATCACGGCCAGTCTTCGTGAACGAAGATCCGGGAAAGGTCTCCAGCCACATTCGTTTACAAGCGCGCTGGTGATACAGGGCTTTGCAAATGTGGGTAAGGCCTTCGAGCCTGTGCAGTGGATTTTTTAGGTGAGGCACAGTGTGCGCTGAACTGAGTCCACCCTTTAATCCTAAGGTTCCATCTGCCGGGGCCGAGCGAGCTTGGACAGTGGCAGCGAGGTCCTCAGGACGTAGGTGTGTTTAGAGTGACCTTCTCTTAGATGGATGGCCTTACAGGGTTGATGAGCTCCATCTGCCTGGGTTTAGAGTTGTCCTTCTCTTCTGTGCGTTCCGGGGCTCCCCTCTCATCTCCCACGAAGGCACTGTCCGCACAGGCGAAGCTCCCATTTTCTCGCTCCATTACGCACCCGGGGCTGGGCCCCAGCGCCCGGGGCTGTACTGCGCCGTCGCGCCTGTTTATTAGTCATGTACCAGTCAATAAAAACTTTGAAGCTTTGCCCAAATTCATTTCTTATTCACTGTTCTCAGAAGAAACAGGAAGTGGCTACATGTTAGAAAGCAGTGAAGACAACATGAACCCTTCCCCTCTGACCCTGTGTTTTGCCCTTCAGAAACAGCCTGTGTGCTCACGCCAACACTTACGCTCTCAGCTCCCCTCCTCACTGGTCACCATTACAGTCTGACAGTCCTGTTTGTCTAGTTAGAGCTGCTGTGATGCTGCTCAGAGACACTGCCAATCACTTTTTCACTTCCAGCAAAGTTACTTACTTGCAGAAGGTAGCTGTAACGACTTTGACAGCATCTCCTGTACATGTTTAAACAAAAAACTCGTCCTAGTTTCAAATCCTGTTTTCTTTGCACCACTTCGACACTCTCACTCACTAAATGCTAGTCAACACACAAAGCTGCTGGAGATTAAAGCTATTTCAGCATTGTCAGCTACTACCTACTACTTTGACTCTTTGCTATCAAAATTTCACCTTGCAACTCAAAGACCTGGCAGCATATGTCTCTGGTTCACAGCTGTGAATCCATCTTCTGGGCTACACAGATGTGAAGTCAAACCCCACAGCCCTTTATTCCATGTTCCTGCAGCAGCAGCAGCTCCCAGTACACCAAATCTCATAGCTCTTTTAGTTACCTTTTGCCCTCTTGCCCATTCTTCTGGTGCAAAGAAATATTCCCATCCTCAGTTTGCTAATGTTTGCAGGTTCTAACTGCTCTTTGTTGATATACAATTGTACTGCATTAAGAAAAAGTAGCATCTGATGACATATCCTTTTTCTGAAGGTGTTTTTAGTATTCAGACATCTGTCTAGGATTTTTCCCCTAATTTTTCACTACTTGGTGTTTTGGGGATAAAAAATGGTCAAAGATTACATCTGGTGTCACTGCAAAATGACTAAATTTCTGCCCATCAAGTGCAGCCTGATTAGAGAAATATGTTCCATGATTCCATGATGAAAAATAGATTTGATCCACACATCCACTTGTACAAGCTGTACAAAGCATGAATAATTACACAGGGCAATTTTTTCCACCATAGTAATAGTAGTTCAGATATCCTGTGAATCATGTGTCTGACTCCTAATCAGGAATCAATTGTTTCTTCTTTTTCCTTTCCTTGACAATTCCTATATACTGGGACCAAGAACTTACTTTTCTTAAGCAATCTGAAAGCAGCTCAAGTAAATTATTCCTCAAGTTTATCCCTCCTGGGTGAAGAGATGTATCCACAAGCTGTATCCACAACCTCACGACCTCTGGCCACAGCTGGCTGTGAATCTGTGTCACCATAGAACATTGCACTGTGGACATTCCAACTCACTTCCATTTCTGGCAGTTAGGTTGACCATAATTAGGCCTTCTGCATCTATTTCCTCTTAGCACACAAGCATTTCCTTGAGACATGCAGCGTGTAATGACCAGTGCAGAATTCTGCCATAAATTAGTAGCAAGTTGCTAAAATAGCTGAGTAGTGAAGGTTATGGGAGAGCAGAGCAGAAACAATCATCTCACATATGGAAATAGCAATATTTTGTGTTTGCTCCCACACTCAAGTAATTCTTGGTATGATGTTTATTAATTATCCTATTAGAAATTATTTTGCCCAAACTATCTGACTGTTATGAACTTCTGTTAATTCTCAGTAGTTACTTTCCCATACCTTCTTTTACTTCTGCAGTGCTTCATTTTCTCTGGCTTTCCTTAACAATGTAGCAGCCTTTCCTGAGCTAAATGTTACATAAATATACTTTTTCGTTTTTTGTTCTAAGCCAGATTCCCCTTTTGAATTTTCTAGCAGGGTAATAGGTGCACTCAAATCAGCAGATATAGTGATACAGTGAAGACCAAAGTGAGATTTCAGTTCAGATTTTACTGACAATGATATTCTCATCATTTATATCTAGCAATACAGAGAGGAGTAGAGACTAAATGCCTGCAGAGATGGCATTTATACCTATCTCCATATGGTCCATATAGCAGCTAGTTCTGATGAGTGCAGAGCCCAGACCTCAGGGAATTTCCATTGTCCTGTGCTGCCCTCCAGAACCTTGAGGTCTGTGCTTTTCCCTGATATTAGGAGAGCGCCTTTACATGATCAGCACTCCAAAAAATTTTACCCATACAAGTCAACTATAGTGTTCTGTCAGATCACAGCAGTACCAAAATGAAAGATGCAAACTCTAAGTCACTGTACAACCCAGAAAATGCAATAAAGAGGAAATTGTGCCACTTTCTGGGAAGAATGGAAAAAGCAAAAGGATTTGGTCTCAGAACTCTGCTCGTTAGAATGGAGAGTTTAAAAACATAACTATGTTACCTGGACAGCCAAATTATGAGGCCACACTGCTTGGTGAGGTTGAGGAAGAGTCTCTTTTGATGTTCTCTTCACTCAGTCAGGAGATCTGGCAGCCTGTTTGTGAAACAGAGATGGTGAGTTTCTGGCTGCATGAGTGGGCATTCACAGGTGCACTTATCTGCATCAAAAGGTAGGAATGTGTGTGAGGGGCTGAGGAGATTTGGAGGCAAAGTACATTGGAAGGTAAGACACGACGGGCTTCTTCCTTTCACTAGACAAAAGTTGGGGATGTGATGGGGAGTGAGTTCTGAAAAATGAACCAGAAAATGCATCAATTTTCCCTGGGATGGGAAGAGTCTGAACCATGACTAAATAGCTTTGCCTCTAGGAGAGGCATAAACAGGGATCAGATGACGTGTCCAAGAGCTGTAACACGAAATCCAAACCAAAGCAGGCTGGTGTATAGCAGATGGATTTATGCATTACAAAAACCAATCTACTGTTGTCATTTGCAAACTGTTTGCTTGATCATGTGAAAGATAATTTGAGATAACTTCTATCACAGCTAGGCTGTGAGGCCTCTGCACTCCCAGGAAGGTTAATGTATATTTTGAATGCAGGTTTATGGCTGGGAGGGAGGTGTGGGGTAGAGGTGAAATTCAGGAAATTTTTGAGCTGCAGGGAATGAGAAAATAATTAGAAATACGCAGCACCACATTCTGCTGATCCTGTAGATTCCTGAGCATCACTTGGGCACTTCTACACACAGACAGTCAGCACTTACATGACTTTGTTATCATTTTCTGTGAATGTTTTTGTGACTGATAAGAGAACAGTCTTACTTGAGGGCACTTTTCTATTCTATAGAAAAAAAGGAATGGTGAGGAACTGTGGTATGTTTGAGCAAATAACAGTTACTGATAAAAGATCTTAGATACCAGGGGTGGGGTGGGGAGCACTGTAAAAATTGTCACTGAAGCCATTTCAAAAGTTTTTGTTGTTTACTAGAGGGACAGAGCAAGGAAGAGTTCAAGGGACAAAACTTCATTGGGAATCATTAGTAATCGCAGCTGAGGTGACGTGGCAGATGCCTCCATGATGTAAGAGATTATTAACTAGTCAAAATTTCACTATTCTTTTCTTTTTCAGTTTTTCAAATGTAGCTTTTCTTCTATTTCCATAGTGAGCTGTCTTAACCACAATCATGTTTCTATATTTTAATGAACATTTTTTAGTGGTTATGAAGTTACAGTTGAACAAAAAGTTCTCTGTTTCTTCATTGGTGGTTTTTCTTCTTCATTCTTTTCTGACTTCTGTTTGAACTGCTTCATTAAACAAAATGCAAGACCTTGTTTTTAAGGCAAGTGGAATATCTCACACAATTATATGATTCCATTAGGTGGTACTTTTAGATGACCACCTCCTGTAAAGGGAAATGTGACACAATTGGGAAACGTGAAACACTAGGTAACATTTGGCTGGACTGTGCCATGTTCTGGGTGGGATTTATCCACATTCATGCTCTTCCCTGTGATGCAGCAACTTGTGTTGAAAGCTGGAACAAGCACCAGGGTGCTCTGTTCTTCCTAGACAGGATCAGTGCCTGGGATGTGGGGTTTCCATAGGAAATGAACATTAATGTTTGGACCAAGATTGCCGTTGACATGAAAAATGTAGGATCACTGGTTTAAATGAATAAAAACACCTACACCGAGCAAATATTCTGTGTTTCTTTCAAACTAGAAACTGAGTAACCAGACCCCAAAGACTCCTAGAGTTCAGTGTAGACAGGCAATAAATGAATCTTGCTCTACATTAAATGTGTCGTTGTTAATTTAGACACCTTAGTCCTCCTTTTAGAGTTTCTCCTTGGGGATTTGTAGCTTCCTTGAACTAGTGATGAAAGGGGCCAGCAGAAGCACTGCTTACTTTTGTGCAAACTAGAAAGTCTTCCCTCCGCAAACTAGAAAGCGTGAGGGATTGGTATGTACTACCTTCCACAGCCCTCAGTGCTGGGCACTTGCAGCATCATCAACTGTAAGAAATATCTCAATCTCCTTCCTCCCTGTGAAAATTCTTTTTGGAAGTTGGACCCTGTTGGCCTTCAGCTGAACTCCAGAGACCTCTCTCCATGTGCTGGTATGTGAGGAAAGCTGAGGTGTTTGAAGTTCTGTAGAAACTCTGATAAGATTTCTTTTCATCTTGTATGCTTTCAGAGTTGGCCTTTTTACCTGCTAGACAGAGCTGCTAGTTCTTGCTATTGTCATCTTTCTACTGTGTTTGAACCCAAACAAATACAACAAATTGGTGATTAAAAACAGGCCTTCTCTTCTCCTGTGCTACAAAAGGTGTTAGGCAGTATTAAAAATGTAGGTGAAATGAGCTGGATAAAAATTGTAAAAATACTTGGAGGGGGAAACAAGAACTAAAAATAATGCACATTTGAAACTGTCACAAAGTGTGGTGCCTTAGCAGTGCTTAATCTAGACCAGAAAGCAAAACAGTTCATTTCTTTGTAAGTTATCAAATCCTTCTGGTAAGTGACACTCTGGAAACATTCAACAGCTTCATAACTGGCTGACTTAATGTTTTACATGCAGGAAAGATGGTTAGAACAGCAATAATCAGCAGAATAAGTTGGTTTCACAGCTGAGCTTTGTTGAGGTGTTATATCGTGTGGGTAGCATTTATAAAACCTTTCTCACTTTTAATTCTGCAGCAAAGATGACTCTCTGCTTCACAAATTAATAATATTTTCCTTTCTCTTACAATGCCAAACTAATTCATTATATCATACTTTATTATATGACTAGACTATTGGTCTAGTCTTCTTTTTATAGTACTCTCTCACTAAGATGAAACATCTCAAGTTCTTTTTTCTCAACATCTCTCTGCAATAATATAACATCATTAAAATATTTTCTCCAATAGATTCCAAACTTATGTTATTCCTCCTCCCATACGGAGGAGGAATACACACATCTGGTGTAAAAATTCCTCACATTAATATAATCATTTATACTGTAATTTTCAGATTAACTTCCATTATTGTTTCTCATGTTTTTAGTTCCTATTTTACGACTTTCATATATTGCATTAAATACAGCAATTGCTCTGCTATCACTGATCACAAGGAAGGTGTTGCTCTTTCATGGGAGCGGACAAAGACACTTCACTCTCACGTTTCAGATGCCTCCGTTGGAAATACACCTTCTGCGTTTGCTTTCCGGTTCCTGGAAGGAGGGCGGGCACGATGCTGACTGTGCACGTGTGTTTGTCAATGCTGGGTGCTCCTAAGGACCTGATTGCTCGTGTCTCATCCAACAAATATGGGAAATAGTTTGAAGGCAATACGGGCTATGTCTTGTTCAGTTGGTGGATGATACGCAGGGGAGGGTAACAACCTGCACAGCGCCTGAATGGAAGTCAGGTGGCAAAAGGAGGAGTTTGGGGGAGGTGAGAAGAAGTCAGCCTGGCTGCACACAGCACGAATGTCAACTCTAATTCAGGCACCTTGTGAAATGGTTTTCCCTAAAAAGTCGTTTTGGATGTGGCAACATGGCTGGTTTTGGCTTACTTTTCAACATGCAGAACATGAAACACTCAGTGCCTAGGTCTGCTCTAAATAGATGAAGTACTTGAATTTAATATCCTCTTCCACTCACAGTAAACATGTCTACTTTGGCAAATTGTTGTGTATAGAAAGATTCTGAAAAATTGAAATCTGTTGGTATTTTTAAATTAAATACTTGGACTGCTTTGGAACAGTGTTTAACCTAAAAATTTAACTTTATCAAATTTATAACAAAAACATCCTTTTTGTCAAACATAAAATTATTTTTGTCTCAACTTCCTAGTTTGTTAAAATTTCAAATTTTCAGTTTAGGAGTGAATTTAAAACTATTTATTCTCATAAATCTAGTCTTTGCAAAAGAGCAGAAGTAATGGATGTGAGTGTCAAACCTGCAAAGAAAAAAAGATAACGAACCTTTAATATCACAAAATCCAGATGAGGCCAAATGTAGTGAAAACTTTTCTTTTGATCTTCCTTTCTCACCTTACAATAAAACCAGAAGTGTTCTGTGTTATTTGTGACACTTCAGAGGCTAATGAAGATCCAATTATTTTTCAGTAATTAGTCAGCCTTTTTGTTTTTCTGGTTATGCTATAGTTAGTTACCATCACGTGATTCAGGTTAAGTTAATTATTATGACAAACAGAGCTGTCAGTTGCACCTGTCTGGGTCTTTCCAACTTCCTTTTAACTTAATCCCTTCCTTACTTTATTAATTTAATTGTAATGGAGGACAGTATATGGAACAAAAGCGTTGACACTTGTAGCTAACTAATCAGACTCTCACAAAGAGCTTGTTCATGTGGCTTTAAGCCATGTGATTTTAAGTCACAAAAACGTTCTCATCACGTAATAGTAACAGCAGCTTAAAGTTTAGTGATATGTTTAGGGGTTGCAGAAAGCTGTCCCAGCAACTGAACTGGAAGAGAAGAAGCTGGAAATAGCTTGCTGCATGTGAAACAGGTAGTGTGGGAAAGTAGACTTGGGATTTAAATCTGTTAAATATATATAAGGAAATACAGTAATATAAAAACATACATGTGAAATATGCATTGCTCTATACTGAGCATGCCTGAAGGCTTTCCATGCTACCTAAACCCACTCTTTATTATAATAAAAAAATCTTAACAAAACCTGTCACTTAGTAATATGTTGTCTTGACTTTGTTCTGAGATAAAACCTATAAATTATCAGAAAATTGAGTTGTTGCCAGTTTCTGTCTTGTTGCTAGAAAATATTTCCATTTTTTGCTGAAGTGCTGTTTTCAGTTCTTTCAGCATGAAACTGATGCACTGATGATATGTGATCACCAGAGATACCACGTCACTTTTGTAATAAAGTGGTTAAAAAGAATACCCCAGCAAAATCTCAAATCAAGAGATTTTACAAGGTATGCAGAGTTCATTTTGTTCCTGGACTAATTTGTTCACTTGGGTAAGTACAAGTACAAGGCTCACACTTTCCAGTGGTGGGTGAATTGATCCAATTAGTCACCTTCACTTAACCAGAATTGTCCAAAAATTTCCTACAGAGAACACTCATTTATTTAAAAAGCCTCTGTACCTTTGTGCACTTGCATGAATGCAGCAATTAAACCACGTTTGACAAAACATTCTTTGGGTCAAGGAAGCATTTTGTATTCATTGGCAGAGCCACTTGCCCGAAGGCTGTGGTACTCAGCTGGGAAGAGAGACAACAGATGGCTGCTGCCCAACCCCAGCCAGGCAGGAGCTTGCCTGGATCACTGACTATCCTAACCCTCCGTACTTTCAGTGGAAACCTTTGAAGGCTGGCAGGCCTTCCTGGTTCCTACTCAACAACCTGTGAGAGATGGCAATTTTGCACTAACAAAGACTGAGAAATTCTTATCTTGAAACTTTACAAGTCTAATACCAAACATTGTACTGATTTATTTGTTTGTTGCATTAAAGGTCTTGGAGATTGCAGAAGAGGATATGGTATTACCAACACTGTCCTGCTACAGCATGGATCAGCAGCAGATTTAGTGATGAGTCTATGAGTCCATGTCTCGCAACAGAACTAGGAATCACTGCTTTCAACAATTTTCAGATGCTTAAACATCCTTTACCCAGTAGATTTTTATCTACTGGGAGGTTCAAAAACAATAAGTATCATTCTTTCATATGCAAGAAAGATCTCCGATATGAAAAACTCATCTGTAACTCTTATCAACAATTTAGGTGCTGCCCCCTACCAAGGATTAGCCTTTTGAATCCATCTCCAGCTGGAGTTTGAATTGTGCTGGTAATATTGTGTTTAATTTTTCTTTTCCTTTTCCAAGTCACACACATACTGCAGTCATGCCTCTTTTTTGTATTGTGTGTAGCTATTTAAGCATCAGATATCATAGCTGGTCTTTTTGAAACAGGTAAACTACATAGTCCTTGGCCCTGAGCCCTGCTGCATTCACTGTTACCTCGCTGGCTGTGGGAACACCCAAAGACACCCAGTTCTGCAGCAGAACAACACAGCAGCAGTAACTCTTTATGTTATATGTGGCAATATTATTATTCACAGTGATCAGAAAGAGTACAACAGAAATGAGTACTAATAAAATAGTACCTGCTTTACAGTGTCTGCAGGCAGCATTCAAGACCAGACAGAAAAAAAAATGTAAGAATGGTGCTAAAAGACACAGCAGCACCTGTCCACTTACCAAGAATGACCAAGAGCAGATGTCAGGGAAGAGTATAAAAATCAAGGAAAGTATGCTATGAAACTTCAGGAGCTTCAGAGGGTGGTGTCTTTCTGTTTCACAGCCTCAAGAGATTTCTCTTCCATGGATTTTTCCTGTCACTTTTTTGAAACCCTGTGGACTTTGAGTTCAGATAAACAAGGATGATCAGCTGTTCTGTATTACAGAAGAAATGGAAGAACTCAAAACAACACAAATAGCCTTGAAAACAGTGGAAAAACCTAGACAGACCAAAGGGGATATCTGGGGTAGTTTTCAAAGTTTGGAAACAATTAAATGTTTCTTTTCATAGCGGAAAACTAGTTATGTTTCCATGTCAACTAGAACAATATGTAGCTGTACGATATAAAGCTAATAATAAAATCACCACTTGCTCCTCTGTAAACCACCAGTGTAAATGACCTAGTTACAAAAATGTAACTAGAAGGAAAGATGCAAATGGCCAAATTAATTTTCCCCCCTTCAACTATTTTTTTTCTTCAAGCAAAAGAAGCACCAAAACAGTCCATCATGCAAACACTACTGAGCTTTCACTGATGTCACTAAGAACACAGTGTAACCACAGCAACCCAATGAGAAGTAGCTTGGCATGACTGGCTTACTTTTCTTTTTTTATTTTATTTTTACACCTTTTTTCTTACCTAGCACGGAAGGAAAAAACCCCAGTGGCCTGCAGAGGTACATGCTTAAATCTATATAACATGAATCAATGATCTGCTAACTACAGAACCCTATATTGTTGACTGCAGCAAGACACCCAGCTAAGGAGCATGTGTACCCTCACCACCATGCTGTGAACACCAACAAAACAAACAGCGCTGACAAATGCCTTAGTCACAAGACACACCTCCTAACATCAGGCACAGAGCTAAGTCTTAAAAAACATCTGGGATAACCAGTAGGAATATAATCACATCCAGCAGCACCTCTGAAGAGTTACATAGCAGCACCTGAGGACCACTTTTCTCTAAGGGAGGCTAGTTCAGCTAACAAAAACAAGCATCAGCTGTGATGCTGACCTCTATGGCATATACTGAGCACAACTTCAGTGCTGATGGCTCCACAAGGGCCATGCCTTGCCTCTTCTGCTGAGTACAGCAGGCAGACAAAGGATAAAGAATCCAAACAACCAACAGGGCAAGCAACAAGAAGATTTAAAGAGAGACAGGACATATGCATGTGATTTTTCAGCGGTCACCTGAAACAGCAGAATAAGCAGTTGATCTGTAAACAGATCTACTGAGAGAAAACTGAGATTTACCACACCATATTTTCCAGGGCTATCTGATGAGACATAGTTCCATTCCTGGCCTGGCAGCAAACCAAGGCAGCTTCCAGCCAGAAGGGGATTCCTGAGCAATTCTGAAGTTAGGCTCGGGAACAGTGCTATCATTAGCCCCAGATGCTAATGCAACATTAATGTTTAGCAGCAGTATCAACACAGGGAGAACAGAGGAACAGCAACTTTCACCTTTTCTGACAGTCATCTAAGTTCATGAGAGTGTAAATGTAAGAGCTGTAACAGATGAGAACAAAAAAAAAAAATCATAGGACAAGTATCTTGCCTCACAGATAACTACCCAACAGCGGGTGCTTAGTGAGGAATGCAACAAGAGGAAAAACATAGGGTGATGCTATCCTGAAAGACTCTCATAACCTACAAAAATGTGCAGGTTGAGGACTTGTCTTCGTAACTCAGCTGCCTCTGATGGCGAGACAGAAAATTCAGGATTCTGTAGTATCTATAATACAAACAACATGGACACCTCTATTTCCCCAGCTTCACTGTGCTGCAGCAGGCTCCAGTAGGCTGTTTGACTTCTCCTCTGGGTATGGGTGTGCTTTGCTGTGGTTCAGTCAGGATCACATGAGGCTAGAGACCCAAACCAAAGCAGCAGTGTGGCTAGGACAAGAAAAGCCCCCTGAGCAACATTCACTTTTAATGACCAGAAACCACAGAGCTGAGATCAAAGAGACCAAGCATGTTCTTTTTCAGTCAGTCATGGGCAAGCAGGGAACTGCAGATTCCTTTACAATGCATATACATCTGCCTGGACCAACTTAATAGTAGCTGGGAACAATTTAGACTGAGCAGAGCTTACTGAGGTTTTATTCTGAACACTAGGGTGTATGAGCTACTGTGGAGCTTGCCCGAAGGTAACTGGATACTTCCTGCATTCAGGCTGACACTATGATCTAGGTAAGAGCTGATTTGGATACGTTCACCCTGAACTGTATTGAGACTGCACTAGAGGCACAGGACAGCTAATCAAGACTGCAGCTGGGCAGCTGCAGAGCTCGTTCTTTTTGCTCTGAGTGCCATGTTTCCCAGGAGCACAAAAGTGCATGGATGGAGGCTGGGAACTTCGGTGAGGAAATCTGGAGTCTTTACATGACAAAGGCCAATTCACCAGAATATCCTATAGTGATCTGTGATGTGACCAATGTGGTTAAAGTAATGATTTAGAGTAGTCATTTCAATCACATGTCCTCTAGAGAATATGGATATCTGATTTCTATTTTTTGCTCATTGTCACTCTAATTATTACTGCAAATTCTTTTTCATGTGGTGACAGCGTCCAAGCTGGTTGCAAGAAGTGTGCCTAGACCCCTCCCTTACAGGGCCATTGCTGCGACAGAATTCATTTTGCTCTGTATTTCTTTTGTATCCTGGACTTGGTATCAACACCAGAAAAAGGTGTTGATAAGCACGATCCAGTCTCCTATTCTCTTGAAGATGTGATATGTGTCTTCAAGTGAGAAATTTGTCCTCTTTTCCAATTTAACACATGCAGGCCAGTGCCACATACTTTCTTCAACACGTTTGGCATGATAGGTGTTTCCAGACCCTGTATGGCCACACAAGCTGTGCTAATCATAAGCATATATTTAACCTTATCTATGAACTGCTCCTATTTCAACCCAGTGCAACTAAACTAAAAATTTTTACCGACTGTACAGTAAGGGATACCTTCCAACCTGAAGCCTCTCTGCTCTGGATATGTGTAATCACAATTTTACTAACATGCTAACCCAGGCTTTGTCTGGAATCAGCAATCCTCACCCACTCCCCTGAGGAGGGGGTGCTACAGCATGAACGAAACACAGAGAAGTGACTTCTATTCAAATGCCATTACCTCTTGCTCTTTCCTGGCCTGCTGGAAGGACTGTTTTTACAGCTTGTTCTTTCTCATCAAATTAGCAAGAACATATGAACAGTGTTAAATACCTACACAGAAGACCAAACCTCCCTCTTGGCTATGGTCTTACAAAACCCCCTGAGCTCTAAGAAACCTACTCTGTCTCTCCAAGTGCAGGCGTTGGAGACACAAACAATGCTCTGCCCTCTACGTTTCTTTCTGATGAAAAAGGACCGCCCTTTTAAACATAAAGCCACGTGCACCTGCAGAGACTCGTGTGGGATTCCAGGAAACCGCGGGGAGCAGCCACACCTTCGCGAGGGCAGGCGGCGGGACGTGCGGGGTCACCCT